GCGTGCCCGGCCGTCCTTTGGCCTCTCGTTATGTCGGGCATGTCCGCCCACTGGGGGATTGGACGAGAAAATACACGAAACATGCAAAACCATATTCAAAAAATCGTGCCCCGACTATTTTTTTGCGATTCTTGAGCCCCACCAGTGCGGCCTTGCGTGGAGCCCGCCATGGGGCCACGAACCGTGTGAGATGCGTGCCGACATGGGTGCGGGTAGGCACATGCAAACATTGCCACTGTGGCCTTCGGCGGAGCTCCCTATGGAGCCTCGAAGCGAGTGAGGGGTGTACCGAAACGAGCGCCGTAGCGCCATGCGAACCCTGACACTGGGGCCTTCGACGGAGCTCCCTATGAGGGCACGAACATGTGAGCGGTGTGCTGGAATAAGTGCGGTCGGCGGTAGCGCCATGCGAACCGTGCCACGAAGGCCTTCGGTGGAGCTCCAAATGGGGCCACGAAACGTGAGAGAGGTGCGCCGAAATAAGCGCAATGACGCCATGCTAACTTCTTCGGGTCGAGTTCCTCCAGTCGACTCTTAGACGAGTTCTTCCGAACGACTTCTTCCGGACGACTTCTTCCAGACGATTTGTTCTGGACGATTTTTTCTGGACGACTTCTTCAGACGACCTCTCCTGGACGATTTTTCCGGACGGCTTCTTCCAGATGACTTCTCCCAGACGACTTCTTCCGGACGATTTCTTCCAGACGACATCCTCCGAGACGACTTCTTCCGGACGAGTTCTTCCGGACCATTTCTTCCGAACCACATATTTCCGAACGCCTTCTTCCGAACATGTTCTTTTTCATCGTTCTCCTATCCCTTCTCCTCCGCCTCCGCCGCACCGACCTCTTGAGAGACACCTCTGTCTCGACGACGTCTTCTGGACGACTTCTTCCGGACGATTTCTTTCCGACCACTTCTTCCGAAGACGGCTTCTCCCGCGACGACTTCTTCCGGACAAGTTTTTTCCGGATCATTTTTTCTGGATGACAAATTCTTCCAGACGGAAGTTCTTCTGGAAGAAATCGTCACGGAAGAAGTCGTCGCGGAAGAAGTCGTCGTTTTTTTTTAAGAATATTTGGAGGCAGTTGGGGTCGGGGGGTCTCACTGGGGCCTATGGGATATTCCTATGGGATATTCATTGGGGCATTCATTGATTTTGCGCATTTCGTTGCCTTTCTGAAAACTTCTTGCGAGATTCGGGAGCTGATTTCGCGTTAGAGCGAGAATGTCGAGCGAAAGTGCCGATTCGTGATATTGCTGGACCGCGCGGATTGGCTGGACACGGTGTCAGGAGGCGCGGTTCGGGTTCGGGGCGTGTTTGCAATCGCCGTCGTGGCAAGTAGAAGCAGGACGAGGGGGCAGTATGAGCAGCAGCAGTGTTCTGGTTTTTTTTTGCAGTGGGAAGCATCCGAGCCAGCAGCATTGCCAACATCATCGGCAGCACCTGATTGCAGTGCTCACCCACTCTTGGTCGCGGTGCTTCTGTTCATGCGGCCGCCACTGCACCGTCCGCCCAGCGTGACCCTCCTCCTCCTTTGCGGTCGCCACTGGGAACGCTGTTCGGGCCTCCCCAGGTCGGCCAGGAGGAGAGGGTCGCGGCAGACCGCTCGAGCCCCTCTGCGAGGCTCAGTGCCTCACCGCCGATGGCCACTCCCCTTTGCGGGCAACGGCTCGCGGGTGAGTCGCCAGGCTGGCCCAGTCCTGACTGAAGAGAGGGCCAGTTCCTATCCTTCGGTCGGGCCTGTTCCCCTACAGGGGGATTTTCGACGAAAAATCGAATATACCCCAAACATGCCACCAAAAAATAAGAAAAACTCAAAATAGTCCCCAGGCTATTTACAATTTTTTGAGTGCTTTTTGGGGTATTTTCTATTTTTCGTTGAGAAATCCCCCTGTAGGGGGACATGCCCGACTTAATCCTATCCCATCGCAGCGGCCTCACCAGCTCACGAGCGCAGAGGCGCTACCACCCCCGAGCGCCTGCCCTGCCTTGCCTTGCCTCCTTTGTTTCGGATGCAACTCCTGGGAGGTCAAATTCTGTTTTCGCCCTGGTCCGAAATCCGGCTTAATCCCGCTTAATCCCGCTTAATCCGGTCTAATGCGGCTTAATCCCGCTTAGTTCGGCTTAGTCCTGCTTAGTCCGAGGCCCACTCTGGCGTAACAGCTTCCAAATGAGGCTTAATCCTCCTTAGTCTTTCCGACGAAAACCTCCCAGTAGTTGCCTCTTAGCCTTGCCTTGCCTTGCCTCCTTTGTTTTTTGTTGTTCTGGCGTCGCAGCGGCCTCGCCTGCCCGCGTTCGCGCTCCAAACGCCCTGCGCCCCCCGCGCAGGGCGTGCGGGACATCGCCTTCACCTCCGATGGCAGGAGGCCCGCCCACCACCGCCGGGGTCGGTCCCTCGATCCCGCGGTTGACATCCTCCTCCTCCCCCTCCTCCTCCTCCTCCTCCTCCTCCTCCTCCTCCTCCTCCTCCTCCTCCCTCCTCCTCCACCTCCTCCTCCTCCTCCTCCTCCTCCTCCTCTCCTCCTCCTCCTCCTCCTCCTCCCTCACCCTCCTCCTCCTCCTCCCCGCGAGTCCGCGATTCCTGCGGGGTTGGTCCCCGGTGTGCTCCCCCCCTTGCGTCCCTCTCTCCCTGTCGCCCTCTCCCCTTCCCTCTCGCCCCGGTTCGCTCCCCCCCCCCTCCCCTTACCCCTCCCCTCCCCTCCCCTCCCTGTCCCCGTCCCTCTCTCCCTGTCGCACCTCCCCTCCCCTTCCCTCTCCCACTCGGCGGCGCGCCCCGGGGGGAGGTGCGAAGGAGAAGGCCTGCCCAGAAGGCTCGGAAGTGCCCCGGCCTTCTCGAGGAGTTTTCGACGCATTCCCCGAAGGCTCGGGGGCGGAAAAGAGGGAGGTGATGACTAGCGGGGTGGTGGATATCATGGCGCGGGCCATGATATCTCCGCAGATTTCATGGCGCCTCTTCTTATTTCATTACGTCCCAGGCCCCCCCGCTGGGCCGCGCACGTGCCGCCGGTCATGATTTGCACCCCCCCCCTCTTGGACACCCCCTTCTTGGCCGCTCCCGAAAGGCACGACGGAACACTTCTCAGAGGGCGCCAGGGCTTCTGAGGAGCCCCGCCGCCCTCCGAGGAGGCCTTCTCCTTCTCGCTTGCCCCCTCAAGCCTTGCTTCGCCTCCGGCTGCTTGCCCTTCTCCTTCCTATGCCCCCACGCATTCGTGTCCTCTCTCTGGCCAGATTCTGCGCGAGCGGGGCGCGTTGTCCCTCCTATTGTTTTGACGTGTGATATGTGTTGATCCATTCTGGACGTATTCTGTTTTTCGACTTGGGGTTGGACAGACTTCCTACCCTCACACGTCGATTGAGGAATTGGCCGTTTTCGGTTCGCGAGAGGGCGGCGCGGCCGTTATTTTTGCGGGTCCAGGTCCGTCGGGTTCGGTCCCAGGCCGTTTTCACTAAGGGGACGTTTACTAAAGGGAGGTTTTTCCACCGCCGAGCATTCTGTCTTTGCACAGGGTGTTCCCGCATCAGCGTTGGCCACATTTCAGAACTGGTGTTCTGTTTTCGTCGTTCCGGAAGTAGTCGTCGTCGCAGCATTGCTTCTGATTGCGTTTCGCACGACCTTGTCTTTTTGTGGGACCCATCTCCGCTGGGACACTTGTCGGCCGATAGAGACACAACGCGCGCAAAGAGAAGGGATGGATGGGAGGGCATATGACGCAAGGCGCTGCGCGCGCACAGCTAAGGCTAGCAGCTAGCTTGCCCACTCCCCTGTCTCCCGTTGTACGGTTACACGACGAGATAATGCTTGTTCTCATCTCTCCCCCGAGGACCCCCAAGTCGTAGCCTGCCCTCCTCCATATATAGGATCACCCAAAGGTGATCTATCATGTGTGTGTGTGTGTCTTTTTCCGCTTCGAGCGTTTTCGGTGCTTCCAGCATGGCGCTCGCGCTACAGCCCTGGCTTACTGTTTTGCCCTCGGCCCATCCAAGTCATAAATGGTGATCGGACATATGTGTTGCTTCAATCCGAACGCTTTCGTATTTCCAGGATGGCGCTCCCGCTACAGCAATGACTCGATTGTCTGGCCCTCGGTCCTTCCAAACTATACTCCCGCTGCAGCGCTGACCTCATTTCTTTGTTGCGGGTCTTCCACATCGCGTTCCCGCTACAGCGTTGGACCTCTTTTTACGCGCCTCTCTGCGATGCCATTCTTTGCGTTGCAGTTCGCCGCTGCGGCATGTCACTCCATGCTACGACATGTTACGCTTTGCCGTACTCTTCTACGCCGTGCTACGCCGTGCACTGCCATGCATCTCGTACCCTCTCGGGTTGCTTGCCCTGCTCGACACCCGACCGTGCGAAGAGGGAGGGTCAGACGAGGCGCTTGCGCACCTGGCTTGCCCCCTCCCCTCGCTCCCTCCCTCCCTCCCTCCCTCCTCCGGCCGCCGAACGCCCGGCCGCAGCCGCGCCGCTCGCCCGAGGTTCTACAGCGTGTCCTACGACAAGAACGTGCAGTACTGGGACACGGAGACCGGGCAGGCCCCCGCCGGACCCCCTCCCCTGCGCCTAGGCCTCCTCGATGGGGTCGGAGCAGATGGGGTCGGAGGATCGTGCAGCATCGACGATGCATCGGCGATGCGGCTCGATGCGGGGCCCGATCTGCTTGACGTCGACGTCGCCCACGTCGACGATGCATCGCCAGTGCGTCGCCGACGCATCGCTGCTACACTGCCGATGCATCGCCGATGTATCGGCGATGCGACGCGATCCTCCGACCCCACCTACTCTGACGCCCGTTTCGGGAGCGGATCCTGGCCTCGGGTCGGGCGTGTCCCTCTAGAGGAGGACTGCTCAAGATAGCCAAGAAAAAATAGGGTGGGGACGGTCTCTGGACTCTTTGGAATTCTGTTTGAGTCTGTTTTGACGAGTGATGGTTCGTCTCGCAGACTCCGCCTGGCCCGGCCTAGTCCTGGCCCCGGTGCGGGATGGAGCTCGGTCGGCGTGCGGTCGCGCCGGGCCCGTCCTGGCGGATCGGGGAGGAGGCAGACCGTGTCGTCCAGGGAGGCGCGGCGTGCATGTGGCGGTGCTCCTCCACGGGGCTCTGAGGCGCCCCGGTGCGGATGCAGTTTCACTCCGTGCCCTCGTTCTCCTCAGCGTCGCTCCCTCCACCTCGCCCCTCCTCCAGGCGCGCTCTCTCCTCCAGGTGCGCTCTCTCCAGGCTCTTGGCTTGCCCCCGGTCGTGCTCGGCACCGAGAGGCTCCGAGGGCCCCAGGGCGGGCTCGGAGGGTGAGCGCAGCGTCGGGAGGTGGCCATCGGGGTTCGGCGCGAGGGTTCGTCCTCCAGGGCAGCGGGGAGGAATCGGGTGGGCGAAGGGGGAGCAGGTGGGACGAGAAGGAGGCGGAGCAGGCTGGGGAGGCGCACGAGGAGGACGTGGCGAAGGAAGAGCAAGCTATTCTGTTTCGAGCCGTCCCCTCCGTAGCCTTCGGCCTTCGTTGCAGAGGCCGGTTATAGTGATTTGTTGCTGGTGCCAGCCAGCACGAGCACGGCGCGCCTCTCGCGTTTGCTAAGGCACCGTTGCTCGGTCGTTGCTGCATTCTGCTCCATCACGCTTCTTGTCGGCGTGTTCTGTTCCATCCATATATGTCATTGTATGGTCTGCTATCGGCGGGGCGGCGTAACGGCGTGACGCCTGTCACGTTCGTCGAATCGGTCGTCACTGCGCCTGTCGTTTCCTGTGGCCAGCCTTACGCCAGCTCGCATGTTGCGTTTAATAGGGTGCCGTTAATCGGTCATTGCTGTCATCTAGATTATATTCAGTTCTGTTGGATTCAACATGGTCTATTCTCGTATACTCGATTGTGTTCTGTTCTGTTCTGGACAGGGCCGGCGTGACGTCTTGGCACTTGTCACGTTGGATACGTCGTCCAATCGGTCGTTGTTCCGCATGTTTGTTCCTGTGGCCAGCCCGACCTCCGCGCGCACGTTGCGTGTGTTGGGGCGCCGTTAATCTGTCTTTGATGTTTTCTTGCTCTGTTGCTGGATTGCTGGCATATATATACCGTATGTTCTGCTATGCTGTCTTCCTAGTATGTTCTAGTGTGCTTGTGTACACTCGGTCCCTCTATGCTAAGTTACGTTCATATCTCTCATATGTGCAGTACACTACCCAATACTTTCCATGGTATGCTATGTGACCGTAATTGTGGTGTTAAAGTATGTCCGTTGGTGCCAGGATTAGGTGTTGTTTGTGCACGATGCGTGCAACCTATGTTTGGATGCCAATGTTGGCAGTGCTGTGATACGTGCACTCATAGTAACGTTTCCCTGTTATCGGCATTGCAGTAATATGTTGATCGTGTGTTCCTTTTCTGATTTGTGCTACATTCTTTTTTTGGGCAGTTCTATGGTATTGTAGTACATTGCATGTCTGGTGTGGTGTGCTTGCGTAGGTGTTTAAAGTAAGCTGCTATGGTGGACGGTTTTTTACATCAAACAATCCCAACTTGTTGAAAGGGGAGAAATATGTTGTTATCCAGCCCTTCCTGTTTGGGCATTCGTTTTGAATACAGCACGGCGGTCGCGTCCTCCGCCTACCGCCTCCTGTCTCCCGCTTCCCTCTTGTCTCCTCTTACGTTGTGTGCACCTCTTGTATACGCATCTTGCCTGCGGTGTCTGTCTCCGACCTTGCCGTCACTGGGGCGGGGGCTGCGATCTGCGACACTGTCGCCACTTTCGAGGGCTGCTGGTGGGTCCAGCGGAGTGAGGCCCCGCGCAGACCTGAGCGAGACCTCGCCGTCCCAGGGGGGCTGCGATCTGCGACACCGTCGCCACTTTCGAGGGCTGCTGGTGGGTCCAGCGGAGTGGGGCCCCGCGCAGACCTGAGCGAGACCTCGCCGTCCCAGGGGGGCTGCGATCTGCGACACCGTCGCCACTTTCGAGGGCTGCTGGTGGGTCCAGCGGAGTGAGGCCCCGCGCAGACCTGAGCGAGACCTCGCCGTCCCAGGGGGGCTGCGCTCTGCGACACCGTCGCCACTTTCGAGGGCTGCTGGTGGGTCCAGCGGAGTGAGTCCCCGCGCAGACCTGAGCGAGACCTCGCCGTCCTGGGGGGGCTGCGATCTGCGACATCGTCGCCACTTTCGAGGGCTGCTGGTGGGCTCGCCACTTTCGAAGGCTGCTGGTGGGTCCAGCGGAGTCAGGCACTGCGCGGACCTGAGCGGGACCTCGCCGTCCTTGGGGGACAATGCCATGTTGTTGCTGCCCCGCCGACGTTTCGAGCCCCTTGCCCACAGTCTCTTTTTGGACCTCGCATCTTCCTTAGTGACTCAGGTAGGGGTTGACTTAGTTACTCATCTTTTGTACGTTGGTTGGTGGCCTGCGAACCTTCCGAATGCCGCTCGCAGAAGTATATGCGTCCATGTCTCGTCGCCGCCTTCTCGTCAAATCTCCCAAGCTACTCCCGCCCTGCACTGCGCAGGGGTTGGGTACGTCGCCAGGGTACTTTAATCTTACAGCCCCAACTCGTCGGGTGAGGAATCATGGACCCAGCACACGTGATTGACGTTACCATGTGCCCTTCTATTCTAAGGCCCTTCCTCGCAATCCTCCATTCGTGCTCGTTTCCTAAATCGCTATGGGGAGCGCCCGCTGAAATGTGTGAATGGTCGCATTGGCCTGTCGCAGATGGAGGAGGCTGGGGGAGTCAACAAAAAACAGCGCCGGCCGTCCACCGGACGTGGCAGGAGTGGGATGGTCAGAATCCCACGCTATAGTACGTACAACTAGAGCTAAGTTTCCTTCATATTCGACCTGACGACGTGTCACATCGCAACGGTTTAGATGTGGACTTGCCCTCACCCGTGCAGAGTGTACAGGCAAGAATGTGCGCGACGCGAGAACGCCATGTTGAAAGCCGCCCGCCTGTATCTGTGCAACTACTGGTCATTTCAATACGTAGGTCTTATATTGTAAGGACGACGCAGGCGAGAACGCGATGATGCAAGCCACCTGCTTATCGGAACGGTTGAGCCTCTGGGCCATGCATCGCGAGGAGGCCTTAATCGAATAATTGAGGAGGAGAAGAGATGCGGGAGACGACAGGAGGAGAAGGAAGGATAGCCGCGGCGGGGTAGGGGGAAGGCGGATGATGGAGGATCTGTAGGGTGTCGATGAGAAAGAAACGACTGGAGGAGGATAAGTTTGAGGATGTGAAGGAGATGGTGAGAACGAAGTGCAGGAGGATGACGAGGCCGAGGTGGGCGAGGCGAGTGGAGAGCACGGGCGAGTGGAGAGCACGGAGGATGTGCGGGCAGAGGAGGCGGTCAAGGGGCATCATTCGAAGGAGGAAGCAGGGAGATGGCAAGCAGGGGGGCGGAGGAAGAGGGAAGATGGAGAAGCGGGAGAGGCGGAGAAAAAGGATAGGGAGGATGCAGGGGGCGGAGAAGGGACTGGAGGGGGTCAGTAGAAGGGGGAGGACTGAGGATGCAGCGAGAGGAGCATGCAGGTGGAGGGATGGTCGAGGGGCATCGGAGAGTGGAGGGCGGTGGAGGCAGGACGGAGCAGAGACCCTCACCGCTCTCACTTGTCCCCGTCCCCTCCACTTCCTCCCCTCAGTTCCTATCACACTGCCTTCCCCTCCATTCTCGCCTCCCCCTTCTGTCGTTGACATGTGTCGGCGCAAGGTGGGTATCGGGTGTTGCTTCGTGCTTCCATGACTGAGTTGAAGGGGCATTACGTTCGCTTGGAAAGTTCATCATAGCCCTTGCCCGCAGGTAATCTCGACGTTTACGAACAAGAAGACGCCGTTCTGCGTGTCCGTACACCCCGATGCGCTTATCCTCTTGTTGTCAAGCGAGCAAGTTAGTTTTCAGCACAGGTAGACGTATCCAGTGCCTGCGGCCCCCCCCCCCCGTGTTTTTGCAATAACGTAGCGGGAAGGAGGCTGAGGTGCAGGAACAACGCAATTCCGACGAGTAGTTGGCATTGGGGCGGGTCATGATCCCGACCTCAAGTCCGCGCGACATGGATGGGGAAACGGAGGAGGAGGAGGAGGAGGAGGAGGAGGAGGAGGAGAAGGCGGAGGAGGAGGAGGAGGAGGAAGAGAAGGAGGCGAGGGAACCCATGAGGATGAGGAGGATCAGGTTTTTTGGGACCTTATTGGGGCCTCCTGGGGGCCTCCTGGTAGCGTCGTGAAAGTTTCGTGTGGGCCCCTTGGGGGTCTCTTGAGGGCCTCTTGGGACCTCTTGGGTCGTCGTAGAGGATTCTTGGTCCGCCTGGCGCCTATGGAGACCACCTCGGGGGCCTCTCTAGGCCGCGGTGGTGCCACCCTGGAGCGGTTCACAGTCGTCTTGGGGCCCTCTTGGGAATTTTTGGGGCATGTTTGGGGTCCTCTTGGCTCGACTTGGGGCCCTCTTGGGAGCCTCTTGGGCTGTCTTGGAGCTATCTCGGAAGCCTTTTGGAAGATTATTGGGCCATCTTGGGCGGTCGGACACCCGAACAGGCGAGAACCTCAAATCGCCAGACAAACTGCGAGCAATCCTTGTTTTTCGCCTCCTCGGGCTCTCCAGGCGGGCCCTATTGGGCCGTCTTGGAGGCTTCTTGATCCGTCTTGAGGCTGTCTTGGGGGCCTCGTGAGCCGTCTTGGGCCACCCTGTGCCATCGGGTGTCGTCGTGCCTGCCTGGCAAGGCGTCCTGGAGCCCACGAGGCTTCCAAGAAGGCCTCAAGACAGATCAGCGTGCCCCCAAGGCGGTCCAAGGGGTCTCCAAAAGGGCCTTCCAGGAGAGCCCGAAGAGGCCGAAGCCACTGACTGCTCCCTGGAAGGATTGCCACGTTCTGGCATGTGTGGGCTTCCGACCGCCCAAGACGGCCCAAGAGGCCTCTCTGTGCCGTCTTGTTGCTCTCTGGGAGCGCTTCACGGATGTCTCGGGGCCCTCTTGGGAGCCCTTTTGGCAATCTTTCGGCCCTCTTGGCCCGACTTGCTTGGGAGCCTCTTGGGCTGTCTTGGAGCTGCCTTGGAGGCCTCCTGAGGGCCTCCAGGGCCGTCCTTGGGCCGTCGGAATCCCGAGCAGGCGAGAGCTTCAACATGTCTCAACCACCTCAGGCGCATCAACTGTTCTTTGGCCCCCCTCGGGCTCTCCCGGAGGGCCTCTCGGAGCCCTCGTTGGCCGTCTCAGGGGGCCGCCTTAGGGGCCTGTTGGGCCGGCTGGAGGCCGTCTTGTCTTTTGGTAGCCTCTGGAGCCGTCCGGGCAATCTTTGGGGGAACTTTTGGGCGTCTTGGGTACCTCTGCGGAGCCTCTTGGGGCCTCTTGAGGGTATCCTGGAAGCCTCCTGGGGGCCTCTCGGGGCCCTCTTGGGGCCCCGTGGGCACCTCTCGGCCCGTCTTGGGGCACTCTTGGGAGCTTCGGGTGCCATATCATACTGGAAGCGTTCGATTCGTACATTAGGGTCCCCCCCCAGGAGGCCAAAGTGTGGCCGAAACCTTGGTAACATCAATGATTATGGCCGTCTCACCGAGGCCCTTTGGGGCATCTTGGGTGCCTCTGGGGCGCCTCTTGGGGTATCTTGGGGGTCTCTGGGGAGCCTCTGTTGGGCATCTTGGGGGGCCTCTTTGGAGTCTCTTTGGGCCTCCTGGGCACGTCTTGGGGCCGTCTTGGGACACCCTTGAGAGCTTCCCCGGGGGTCATTTTGGGGCCATTTTGGAGGAGATCGATCAAAGGAGGTGGGCTTCTTGATTAGAGTTTCCCCCCCAGGAGGCCAAAATGTGGCCTGCCTCAATTTTGATACATCCGAACTAATCTGGGCCTCCTCGCCGAGGCCTCTTGGGGCGTCTTGGGTGCCTCTGGGGCGCCTCTTGGGGCCTCTTGGGGGTCTCCTGGGAGCCTCTCGGAGGCATCTTGGGGGACTCTCGGGTGCCATTCGGGGCCGCCTGGGGACCTCTTGAGGCCGTCTTGGCGTAATTACCCTGCATCTTGGAGCCACCTTGAAGGCGATCGATCCAAGGAGGGGAACTCCTTAATTGCCCCCCCCCGCCCCCCGCCCCCCCCCCGAGCCGGGAGGTAAGATTCATGATTCTGGCTTCCTCGTCGAGGCCATCTTGGACGCTCCGACCCCCCGCGGAACGCCACCTCCAGTCCCAGGTCGCAGATCGAGGGGGAGGACTCCGCCCCTCCCCGAAGGGGGAGAGGGAGGAGGAAGGAGGAGGAAGGAGGAGGAGGAGGAGGAGGAGGAGGAGGAGGAGGAAGGTGGAGGCGGAGGAGGAGGAGGAGAGGAGAAAGGAGAGGGACGGAGGAGGAGGAGGAGGAGCGGAGGCGGAGGCGGAGGAGGAGGAGGAGGAGGAGGAGGAGGAGGAGGAGGAGGAGGAGGAGGAGGAGGAGGAGGGGAGGAGGAGAGGAGGAGAGAAGGAGGAGGAAGGAGGAGGAGGAAGGAGGAAGGAGGAGGAATGTGGAAGAGGAGATTCACCAAACCACCCACGCCCAGAGGGCTGGTGGGAGCTGCTTGCCCCCCCCTTTTGGAGCGAGGCGGGGCGCCTGGGCATCCGCGCCTCGGCCCCGCGAGACCCGGCCGTGGCTCCGCGCGCGCGGCCGTCCTCGGGTGCACCGATTCCTCGGCGAGGGGGTCTGCACGGTACGAGGTACAGTATAGCACATGTGGGCTCCCCGCGCATTCTTCATCGCTCATGGCCCCCCCTCCTCCTCCTCCTCCTCCTCCTCCTCCTCCTCCTCCTCCTCCTCCTCCTCCTCCTCCTCCTCCTCCTCCTCCTCGTCTTCCTCCTCCTCCTCCTCCTCCTCCCATTCCTCCTCCAACTCCTTTGGGAGGGCTGCGGAAGCTCGCGGGCGGGAGAGGCCTACCCTTAAGTCGGGCCTGTCCCTCTACAGGGAGAATCTTCAACAATAGTCAAAGAATAGTCTGGGGACAATTTTTTTTTTTTTTTTTTTTTTTTATACCATTTTTGAGTATTTTGGTGTATTTGTTTGACTATCTTTTTTTGTTCGTCCAAAATCCCCCTGTAGGGGGACAGGCCCGACTTAAGCCTACCCGTGTCCACGGCGTCGCGGGCCGGGCCTCTGGGCTGCGACCCCGTGGATCAGGCCGTGGCGAGGCGTCCCGGCGTGCCTCCGGGCCTGCCGAGCAATGCTCTGAGCACCTCTTCGTGGTTTCCGAGCGCCGATCGGATGTCAGCTTTAAGCACCTCTCCCTCCTCCTCCCTCCTCCTCCTCCTCGTCTTCCTCCTCCTCCTCCTCCTCCTCCTCGTCCTCCTCCTCCTCCTCTGGGAGGGCCTGCCGAGCAATGCTCTGAGCACCTCTTCGTGGTCTCCGCGAGGTGTTCTCAGAGCATTTCTGGCTGGGGCTGTCGGGCCGGGCGAAAGGGGGGGATTGGGAAAGGGGGTTCCGAAATTTGCTGCATGCAGCTGGTTTCGGCCTCCCCGGGAGGCGCCGGGAAAATCAGCTACGTGAGCTGATTTTCAACCCCCCCATTTGCTATCCCCCCCTTTCGCCCGACCCGAGACTGTCTCGTTTTAGCACAGCGGGTTTTTGTTCTAAGGACATTGTGTTTGTCCTTCAAACAGTTCTGGGTTCTAAGAATATTCCGTGGTAGGCCTATAGGAATGCCGGGACGGTCGGTCCCTGCTCAAGTGGAGAAAGATCACCGAGCGCGTTCCACTACTCGCAGACGAGATCAAAAAAGAGTGATGCTCGAATGAACGGAGCCTGTTGGCCTCGACGCAATGGGTCCAGGCCATTGGCGAGCAGCTACTTTGCGAGTGGTGGAACGCGGTTGTTTAAAAGAGGCGTTTTGTCGCAGGTGATGCGCGCGGAATGTACCAATGCGACCGCGTACCCACGGGATCGCGCCCCGGAAGCCAGACCACGAGGGCGCGGACATGGACACGGTCTGCATTCGTGGGGAGCCCCAAGGCGTGCATCATGGCCCCAAGAGGGTCGAAGAGTCTCCCTCGAAGGGGTTTGAGAGTGCCGAATGAGAACGGCAATAGTACGAGCGGCTAGGACCGCCCAGCAGGCCTTCAATTACCCCACGTCGGCCCAAAACCCAAGACTCTCGAACAGGCTTACCAACATCTCCGCGATAGTTTCAGGAGAACCCCAGAGGCCCCCCGTGAGGCAACATTGTTTGATAACCTCACGATTGCTTGAGCAGTGCAGCTTCTTTCGTCCTGGAGAGCGTCCACGACAGCCCACGAAACTGCCGAGATCGTCCCGAGATGGCCCCAACAATGACCCGCGAGGCTTGCCCGAGAGGTGCCCCAGCGGGCTTCCGAAGCGGCGCCGAGGGAGCCAATCTACGCCTCTGGGCGGGCCACGACTGCACCGCGATGTGTGATCCTGGGCCGAGGGCCTTCGGCACCACCCCCCCGATGGGACGGATCGCCCCCCAGACGGCATGGGGGACGACGACGACGACGACGACGACGACGAGGACGACGACGACGACGACGACGACGACGACGACGACGACAACTAAGAGGACGACGACGACGACGAGGACGACGACGACGGCGACGACGACGATGACGACGGCGGCGACGGCGGCGGCGACGGCGACGACGACGACGGCGGCGACGGCGGCGACGACGGCGACGGCGGCGGCGGTGGCGGCGACGAGGACGACCTCTGGAGCTCTCCTGGAGCACCACAGTACCACGCCACAAACGCCACACCCACAGCACCACACCACACCCACAGGGGGGGGGGGGGGGGGGCACATCGTGGGGGTGGGGGCCCGATGCCATCAGCTTGGTGGGGTGGGGGCCCCTGGGCCTGGATCAGATGTCCCAAGATGGTCGACGAGGCTGCCAAGAGTCCCCGAAAGGCGCACCAGCACGCGCCACAGGCTTCGGAGCTGCACGAACACGAGCTGGTTGCCGTGAGCGTCCACGACGGCCCAAGCGCCTGCTAGGGGCCACCCGAAGCGGTTCAGGAGAGCCCCTGTGCGGTTCTGCGGCGCGTTCTGTCGAGGCCCAATGGGGCCCAGAGGCGCCGCAGAGTCTCCGGAACGGCCCCAGAGGCCCCGAAGACGGCCTCGAGGGGTCCAAGATCGCGCCAGCGGCCATCAAGGATGAAAGAGCAGCGACCCTTACAACACAGTGCAGACGTGTCCTCACTGAGGTCTCCGTCTTCGCATGAGGGGAAACGATGGAGGGCGGTTTGGTCCGATGCACTTTGCAGAAAACAGGCTCTATCCTTGATGCTCTTGGCCCTCCTAATTTACTGAGGTCCCCTCCCAAAAGGGTTAGGGGCAATTTTTTGGTTAATCAAGCGAGCCTCTGCTTCCTTCACCGCTTCCGCTGGCGTCGTCGTCGTGCTGACGCTGCTGCTGATGCACCTGCTGCATCTACTGCTGCCGTTGCAATTGCCACGGTGTACGTAACGTCGAGCGTGCTGGGGTGTCATGGGATGACGGGGGTGCCTGGGAGTGCGGGGGGCTCGATTCCAAGAGTCGCTGGCTCACGGGCACCAGACCAGTTCGGGCTCTCATTCGGTTCCACCCCAACAAACTGAAACTATGTGTGCGTCGCCCACCCAGGGGCGACGCGCGTGACATCTTTTAGTATATGCGTCGTGGCGGGCGCTTCCTGGCCACTCCGCTCGGGAAACGATATGTTACAAGATGGGTCTACTAGATGCTCGGGTCGGACGCGCGCCTCCAAGGAGGACGTATCGTATCAGTGTGCCTTTCTGCGCCCCCATTCATGTTTTGTGCGCCGAGGTGACTGCCCAGCTTCCATTTTCTCCCTCTCTCCCTGAATGGTTGTGCACTTGCCCGTCATGCTGTTTCGCCTCGCACGTGCCTCCTGGAGTGCCCGTGTCACGCGTGTGCCTCAGCGAGCCCGACCGCCCTGAAGGGGCCCGGGCGCGGGTGACCCCCACAAAGCTGCATCCGCCTCCGCATCCGCATCCGCATCCGCATCCATGGTTTGTGCGACGGCGAGGTCCTGGGAGGAGGAAAGGGAGGGGGTCCTCCTCCTCCTCCTCCTCCTCCTCCTCCTCCTCCTCCTCCTCCTCTTCGTTCTCCTCCTCCTCCTCCTCCTCCTCTTCGTTCTCCTCCTCTCCTCCTCCTCCTCCTCCTCCTCCTCCCTCCCCTCCTCCTCCTCCTCCTCTCGTCGTTCTCCTCCGCTTCCTCCTCTTCTTCCTTCTCCTCCTCCTCTCCTCCGCCTCCTCCCCCCTCCTCCTCCTCCCCCCTCCTCCTCCCCCCCTCCAACTTCTGGTGGTGGTGGTGGCGAAGCAGGCCCCTCGTCTTGTGCAACGGCGCGGCCCACTGTGCTGCCACGCCGCCCCGGCGCGGCCGCTGGGCCGCCGCGCGCCGACAGGGCGGCGCGGCCCGCCCTGCCGGGGGGCCGCGCTGCGGCCTCGCCCCGCTCGCCCGCCTCGGGCGACCCTCGGCGGTCCCGGCCGGGCCCCCGCCGCTCGCCCGCCGCGGGCGCCCCTGCCGGGGTGGCGCCCGCCAGGTGTAGGTCGGCCCTGTCCCCCTGCAGGGATGGGTTTTCGACGAGAAATAAAAAATACTCCCAAAAATAGTCAAAAGGTAATCCAAACATAGTCTGGGGAGTATGTTTTGAGTATTTTTGACTTTTTGGGGGCATGTTTTTTTTTTTTTTTTTTTTTTTCGTTGAAAATCCCAGGCCCGACATAACGCCAGGTCCAGACCTCGGGCCGACCCGCATGGCAAGGATGGGCAACTTGCCCGAGGGCACCGCAGGCTCGTGGGGCGTCGGCGCGCCGCCGACGCCAGCGAAGGCGCTTCAAGGCCGAGTCCTGCGACGCGGAACAAGGGCTCCCTCGAGGGCGCGAAGTTATTCGCGCTTCGCGCTTCGCGGTCCTCGTTCCTTCTCCCCCTCCTCCTCGTCCTCCTATTCTCCCTTTGGGAGGGCGGCGCGAGAGCGCGAAGTTATTCGCGCTTCGCGCAGCGCGAAGCGCGAAGTTGGGAGCCCTAGCGGAAGCTCCAGGGGGCACGGTGATGTCATTGGGCTCGGCGGGGTTCCACTCTGAACGATCGGGGCCGCGATCGATTCCAGGTTGAGGGATCGACGCGGTGCCAAAAGCCTTTCCGCACGCCGACGTCGCGCGAAGCTGCCGTAGCCGTCCCTTGGGTAATTACCCTTGGGAAGGGTTGCCAGGGGTGCCCATGGAGAGTGGCCCAGGGGTGGGCCTCCGGGCCTCCTCGGTCCGACCTCGGCCACTGTTGTTGTCCGCGCCCCGCTCGAGGAGCTTCGAAGAGCGGGCGTCCGAGGCCCTTGCCTCCTCGCCGCGCGTCCTTCTGATGCGGGCCGGCTGCGCGGGGAACCTTTTTTTTTGTAGCCCCGCCCACTCCGGCCGCCTGACGCCCCGCCCGCCTGTGCCCTGTCTCCCTGATTGGAGCTGTGCGTAGCCCGCCCAGCTTTTAGCGGAAGAGGTTCGCCCTCGCCCCGCCGACCAAAAAAAGATTGTGCGGGGATCTGTGTTTCTCCAGTCAGGGAGACGCTCCTGCGCAGATCTCGGCCTCCGGGGGGCCGTGTGTTGGGCCGCGGGGCCGTCGGAGAGGGGGATGCCCCAGGCCGACGTCCACAGTTGGGGCCCATGCCAAGAGACAGCCTGCTTGCCTCCAGGGTGCCCCGGGTTTCCTGGGTGTCGCCGGTTCTGCGATGGACAGCGTGACGTTCCCACACCAAAAATCAAGGGACGACCTGGGGTCTCAGGGTTGGGTTTCTTGTGGACTGGCCTCCTCTGTATCCCCGAGGAAGGATCCGGGACCCCTGGGGCCCGCGGACCGAAGACTCCGCCCATCGGAAGCCCGGGAGGGGCCCTCCTCGCGATCCGCGCCTCCCTCCCCCCTGCCGCCCGCGTCCTCCTCCCGGGTGCCCCCCGCGCTCGCCCGCCAGCCCTCGCAGCAGAACGTCATCCTGACCGGTTGCTCGAACAAGAGGGCGAGCAGCCCCCCCCCCACCCGCGCCGCCCTCCCTCGGGAGGTGGGTGGTTGCGGCGTCCTGGAGGGAGCAGAAGGAGGCGGTGGAGGGGGCAAGATCGGCGTCCGCCGTGGAGGGTCCTGTCACGCAGTCGATGCGAGGCAGAAGCTGGGCGGGACGGGGAAGCGTGCACGGCTCGGGCAGACAGGACACGGCGTGCCGAACGCCCCCTGTTGTGCACCTCTGCGGGCCAGTTTTTCATCGGCCTCGTTCGTCTCTCCTCTCTCGCGCCAAGCCTCCAGGACATCTTGATGAAGCGCGGACTCCCCCGTGGCAGCACCCGCGCCGTGGCAGCTCAGCAAAGGCACCGTGGCGGCATGCAGGCAACAGCAGGATCCTGAGCGTGCCCACGTGTGCGCCAGCGTGCGCCTGAGGAGATGTTCCTGGGAGCAGCTGCATCGGTCCCTTTGAACTCTCCAGAGCAGGGGGGAGGAGGTGGATGGGGCATTAACTGTATCCAGGCTTCGAATATCATACTCGCGCAGAAGATCTTCTGCGGGCACGTGTAGGTGCAGCTCCCAGGCCTGAAGACATTCGGGGGCGTTCGTGGGACCGCCAGAACTTCAGAGGCATGCCAATGTGTCTCCTTCGCCCCCGGGAGGGCACCAGCTGCGCACCTACACCGATCCTGGCCAAGCCGTTCCTGGGTCCAGGATCAGTGCATGTGACTTCCCGGCCATTCCATGAGGGCGAATACACCTGTCCGTGACCCAGAATGGGCCTGTCCAGCATCTGTGCAGGTGCATAGTTGGTGCCCTTCTCATCCCCGCTCCCGAATCGCCCGCCGTAGACGGCCAGGCGGTGCAGTGGGACACGAACACCTGCACCATTGTCCAGGATGGCGCGCGCGCGCGGTCCTTTGGCCGCGTGCTGGGATTCTTCCGCCCCCTTCGGCCTCGCGGCGGTGCTGGCGCATCCGCGCGCTCTTACGCCAGCTTGTGGGCTCGAGCGGGGGGGTCAGAGGCACAGCGAGGGGAGGAATACGCAGGGGAGGGGAGGGTGCGGCTAGGTGAGGGGAGCCAGGGGCAGGGACGGGATGGAGAGGCATAGAGTGTTGGGCCGTCCTCGTCCAGGTGGGACTTGACTTTACCCTCCGCGTCCGCCTGTCACATGCGCTAGCCCAAGGGGAGTGTCGACAGTCAGCAGCAGGAGAGGGATGAGAGGAGGAGGAGGAGGAGGAGGAGGAGGCAGGAGAGGGATGAGAGGAGGAGGAGGAGGAGGAGGAGGAGGAGGAGGAGGAGGAGGAGGAGAGAGGAGGAGGGGCGGAGGCGGGGCGGAGGCGGCGGCGGAGGCGGAGGCGGAGGCGGTGAGGCGGAGGCGGAAGGCGGAGCGGAGGCGGAGCGGAGGCGGAGGCGGAGGCGGAGGCGGTGGCGGGGCAAGAGGTAGGCGGGACGGGAGGCGGAGGCGGAGGCGAGGCGGAGGCGGAGGCGGAGCGGAGGCGGAGGAGGAGGAGGAGGAGGAAGAGGAGGAGGAGGAGTTGGAGGAGGAGCGAGGAGGAGGAGGGGGAGGAGGCGGAGGAGGGGCGGAGAGGAGGAGGTAGGCGGAGGAGGAGGAGGAGGAGGAGGAGGAGGAGGAGGAGAGGAGGACGAGGCGGACGAGGAGGACGAGGAGGAGGGAGGAGGGAGGAGACGCAGGGGAGGAGGAGGAGGGGAGGAGGAGGAGTGAGGAGGAGGTGGCGGAAGGAGGAGGAGGAGGGAGGAGGTGGAATGAGGATTGTTAGGGGGTATAGGTGGTGAGGGGGAGGGGGAGGGGGAGGGGGAGGGGGAGGGAGAAGGGTGGATAGGGGGAGGGGGAGGAGGAGGAGGAGGAGGAGTGGGAAGGGGTGGGGGGAGGAGGCAGGAGGAGGAGGAGGAGGAGAAGGAGGAGGAGGAGGAGGAGGAGGGGAGGAGGGGAGGAGGGAGGTAAGAAGAGGAGGGAGGAGGAGGAGGGGAGGAGGAGGAGAGGAGGAGGAGGAGGAGGCGGAGGGGAGGAGGAGGAGGAGGAGGAGGATGAGAGGGGAGGGCGGATGGGGGAGGGGGAGGGTGAGGGATCGGAGGAGGAGGGGCGAGGGGGATGGTGATGATGATGGTGATAAGGACGATGTTGATGATGATAATGATGATGCTGATGATGATGATGATGATGATGATGATGATGGTGATGCTGATGATGATGCTGAGGCTGAGGCTGAGGCTGATGATGATGATATTGATGATGCTGATGATGATGGCGATGCTGATGACGATGATGATGATGATGGTAGTGATGCAGATGATTATTATGATGATGGTGCTGATGATGGCGATGCTGATGACGATGACGAAGATGCTGTTGATGATGATGATGATGCTGATGCTGATGCCGATGATGCTGATGATGCTGATGATGATGCCGATGCTGATGCTGATGCTGATGCTGATGCTGATGATGATGATGATGATGATGAGGATTATGATGATGATGATGATGATGATGATGATGATGATGATGAGGATGATGATGATGATGATGATGATGATGATGATGATGGATGATGATGTGATGATGATGGTGGTGGTGAGTGGTTGGTTGGTGGTGGTGATGATGGATGCTGATGATGATGATGATGATGATGATGATGATGATGATGATGATGATGGCGATGTGATGATGATGGGTGGATGATGGTGGTGATGACGATGATGCTTATTCTGGGAGATGATGTGGAGGAGGAGGTGGAGGTGGAGGGGGGGATGGAAGGAGGGGGATAGGGCGGGAGGAGGGAGGAGGAGGAGGAGCAGGAGGAGGAGTAGGAGGCGGGTGGAGGAGGGGTCAGAGGAAAAGGAGGAGGGGAGGAGGAGGAGGAGGACAGCAGGAGCAGAGGTCGCACAGGCGCAAGGCGATGAGGAAAATGCAGTCCTCACAATGCTGGGGGCGGCGACGAAGGAGGAGAAGGAGTAGGAGAAGGCAGTAGCAGCGATGCAGCGCCAGTGCACGAGGAATTCCAGTAGACTGTGTCCAGCTGCTCCCCGCAGCTGGACCCAGACTCGCCGAAGCGCAGGCCCCGGGCTGGGTGTCATGAGTTGGC